GGATTACAGGTGTGAGCTACCGTGCCCAGCCTTTTTTTTTTTTGAGATGGAGTGTTGCTTTGTCACCCAGGCTGGAGTACAGTGGCATGATCTCAGCTCAATGCAGCCTTCACTTCCTGGGTTCAAGTGATTCTCCTGCCTCAGGCTCCTGAGTATCTGGGATTACAGGCACATGCCATCACGCCTGGTTAATATTTGAATTTTTAGGAGAGACAGGGTTTTAACCATGTTTGCCAGACTGGTCTCGAACTGCTGACCTTGTGATCTGCTGGCCTCGGCCTCCCAGAGTGTTGAGATTACAGGCATCAGCCACTGCACCCGGCTAGCTACACCAATTTGACATACCTGCCAGCAGTTTCAAGTTGTCCATATCTTCATCAATAGTTGTTATTGTCTGTCTTTTTTAGTTAGAGGCTTTTAAGTATAAAGTGGCTTTGATTTGAACTTCCTACATGACTAGTGATAATGAGCAACTTTTTATGTGCTGCTTGGCCATTTACATATATTCTTTCTTTTGGGAGGTGGAGTTTCACTCTTGTTGCCCAGGCTGTAGTGCAGTGACGTAATCTTGGCTCATTGCAACCCCCTACCTTCTGGGTTTAAGCAGTTCTTCTGCCTCAGCCTCTCAAGTAGCTGAGATTACAGGCGCTCACCATCACCATGCCCAGCTAATTTTGTTATTTTTAGTAGAGACGGGGTTTCACCATGTTGGTAAGGCTGGTCTCAAACTCCTTACCTCAGGTGATCTGCCCACCTTCACCTCCCACAGAACTGGAATTGCAGGTGTGAGCCACCATGTCTGGCCCTATTTGCATATATTCTTTGAAGAAATGTTTATTTACATCCTTTCCTTTTTTGTGTGTGTTTATGATATGAGGAAGAGATCCACCTTCACTTTTTTGCATGTGGATATGCAGTTGTTTTAGTGTCATCTTTGGTTATCTTTTGTCATCTGTTTGCTGTTATTAGATAGAAAGAGACCCTCATTCTCATTTTCTGATGCTTTTTTTTTTTTTAAGTGACAAGGTCTCTGTCACCCAGGCTGGAATACAGTGAGGTAATCATACCTCACTGCAATCTCCGCCTCCTGGGCTCAAGTGATTCTCTCACCTAAGCCTTTTGAGTAGCTGGGTCCATAGATGCATGCCACCATGCCAACTAACTTTTGTATTTTTGTGGAGATGGGGTTTCCCCATGTTGCCCAGGCTGCTTAATTTCCTGGGCTCAAGCAATCCATCTGCCTTGACCTTCCAAAATGCTGGGATTACAGGCATGAGCCACTGTGCCTGGCCTCATTTTCTGCCTTCTTGTTTTCTACCTTTCTAATTCCTACCTGTGGTTAAGGTAATTTATATATGTGTCTGATGGTAAACTCTTGTTTTTAAAAAATTGCATACTATGTATTGCATCTTTTCATGCTGTTTTGCTCACATAACAATAACAGTAATAAGGCAGTTACTTCGTCATTATCAGAAATGTGTTATGCAGGTTATGGTCATACTGCTCAGATTAAATTACTGGGATTCTGTTTATTTAAATGCCTTTCCCATTAAAACAAACATACGGTTTTTTTTTTTGAGACGGAGTTTCGCTCTTGTTACCGAGGCTGGAGTGCAATGGCGCAATCTCAGCTCACCGCAACCTCCTCCTCCTGGGTTCAGGCAATTCTCCCACCTCAGCCTCCTGAGTAGCTGGGACTACAGGCACGTACCACCATGCCCAGCTAATTTTTTGTATTTTTAGTAGAGACAAGGTTTCACCTTGTTGACCAGGATGGTCTTGATCTCTTGACCTCGTGACCCACCTGCCTCGGCCTCCCAAAGTGCTGGGATTACAGGCGTGAGCCACAGCGCCCGGCCAACAAACATATGTTAAGTAAGCACTCTGAAGCCTTTTTTTGGCACCAGGGACTTATTTTGTGGAAGACAATTTTTCCATAGATGTCGATGGGGGGCGATTTGGGATGAAACTGTTCGACCTCAGATGATCTAATGCCTCAGATCATCAGGCATTAGATTCTTTTTTTTTGTTGTTTTTAAGACATAAGCTTGCTCTGTCATCTAGGCTATGATGCAGTGGCCACTATTTCTGCTCACTGCAACCTCTGCCTTCTGGATTTAAGCTATTCTCCTGTCTCAGCCACCCAAGTAACTGGGATTATAGACACCCACCACCAGGCCCAGATAATTTTTTGTAGTTTTAGTAGAGAGGGGATTTCATCATGTTGGCCAGGCTGGTGTTGAACTCTTCAGCCTCCCAAAGTGCAGGGATTACAGGCATGAGCCACTGCACCTGGCCAGGCATTAGATTCTAATAAGGAGCATGTAGCCTAGTTCCCTCACATGTGCAGTTCACAATAGAATTTGTGCTCCTACAAGAATCTAATGGCACTGATGCTCTGACAGGAGGCGGAGCTCTGCTGATAATATTCGCTTGCCATGTACCTCTGTGCTGTGTGGTTCCAACCACAGCCAGTACCAGTTCTTGGGCTCGGGACTGGGGAGGGGGATGGGCGGGTGTGGTGGCTCATCCCTGTAATCCTAGTGCTTTTGGAGGCCAAGCCCGGCAGATCACCTGAGGTCAGGAGTTAGAGACCAGGCTGGCCAACATGGTGAAACCATCTCTACTAAAAATAGAAAAATTATCTGGGTATGGTGGTAGGCACCTGTAACCCCAACTACTTCAACCCAGGAGGCAGACATTGCAGTGAGCCGAGACTGCACCATATCACTAGCCTGGGCAACAAGAGTGAAACTCGGTCTCAAAAAAGTTTTTTAAAAATGGCTGGGTGTGGTGGTTCACGCCTGTAATCCGAGCACTTTGGGAGGCCAAGGTGGGTAGATCACTAGGTCAAGAGATGGAGACCATCCTGGCCAACATGATAAAACCCATCTCTACTAAAAATACGAAAATGAGCTGGTTGTGGTGGTGGGCACCGGTAATCCCAGCTGCTTGGGAGGCTGAGGCAGAATTGCTTGAACCTGGGAGGCAGAGGTTGTAGTGAGCCAAGATCTTGCCACTGCACTCCAGCCTGGTGACAGAGCAAGACTCCATCTCAAAAAAAAGCTAGGTCTGGTGGTGCATCTGTAGTCCTATTTAACAGGCTGAAGTGGGAGGACCACTTGAGTTTGAAGTTAGAATGTGTTCTTATCTTAGCACAGTGCTCTAGCCTGGGCAACAGAGCAAGACCCTGTCTTTAGAAAAAGGAAACCGTGTGTAGTGGCTCACACCTGTAATCCCAACACTTTTGAGAGGCCGAGGTGGGTGGATCATCTCAGTCAGGAATTCAAGATGAGCCTGGCATTACAAAACCCTGTCTCTACTGAAAATAAAAAAATTAGCTGTGTATGGTGGTGGAGTCCTGTAATCCTAGCTACTCGAGGTGCTGAGGCAGGAGAATCGCTTGGACCTGGGAGATGGAGGTTGCAGTGAGCCAAGATCATGTCATTGCACTCCAGCCTGGGCAACAAGAGTGAAACTCTGTTTCAAAAAACAATTAAAAAAAAAAAGGCTGGCTGTGGTGGTTTATGCCTGTAATCCCAGTACTTTTGGGAGGCCGAGGCGGGTGGATCATTTGAGCTCGAGTTCAAGATAAGCCTGGTCAACATGGCAAAACCCCGTCTACACTAAAAATACAAAAAATAGCTTGTTGTGGTGGCGTGTCTGTAATCCCAGATATTCGGGAGGCTGACGTTTCAAGAATTGCTTGAACCTGGGAGGCGGAGGTTGTAGTGAGCTGAGATCATGCCACTGCGTTCCAGCCTGGGTGATAGAGTGAGGGGTCGTCTCAAAAAAAAAAAAGTTTTGATATTTCCTTGTTGGACCTCAGTATGTCTGTAATCCCAGCTGCTTTGGAGGCTGAGGCTGGAGAATCGCTTGAGAACCCAGGAGGCAGAGGTTGCAATGAGCTGAAATAGCGCTACTGCATTCCAGTCTGGGCAACAGAGCAAGAGTCCATCTCAAAGAAAATAAGAGGCTAGGCACAGTGGTTCATGTTTGTAATCCCAGCACTTCGGGAGGCCCAGGCGGACAGATCACAAAGTTGAGAGTTTGAGACCAGCCTATCCAACATAGTGAAACCCTGTTTCTACTAAAAATACAAAAAAATTAGTCAGGTGTGGCATGAGTCTGCAGTCCCAGTTACTCGGGAGGCTGAGGTGGGAGAATCACTTGAACCTAGGAGGCAGAGGTTGCAGTGAGCCAAGACTGCGCTATTCCACTCCAGCCTATGTAACAGAGTAAGACTCCGTCTCAAAAAACAGAACCAAATTTTTGTTTCTGGTTTTTGTTTTTGTTTTTTTTTCGAGATGGAGTCTTACTCTGTTGCCCAGGCTGGAGTGCAACGGCGCGATATCCACTTACTGCAACCTCTGCTTCCCTGGATCAAGCATTCTGCCTCAGCCTCCTGAGTAGCTGGTATTATAGGTACAAGCCACCATGCCTAGCTAACTTTTTTGTATTTTCAGTAGAGATGGGGTTTTACCATGTTGGTCAGGCTGGATCCTGACCTTGTGATCTGCCCACCTTGGCTTCCCAAAGTGCTGGGATTACAGGCATGAGCCACTGTGCCCAGCCCGTATTTTCTTATTAGACCCCAGCATGTCTGTAATCCCAGCTATACAGGAGGCTTGAGGCAGGAGAATGGCTAGAACTCGGGAGGTGGAGGTTGCAGTGAGCTGAGATCACGCCACTGCATTCCAGCCTGAATGCAACAGAGCAACTCTGTCTCAAAAAAAAAAAAAAAAAAAGTTTTTATATTTCCTTTTTAGACCCCAGTTAATTATTGTGCTTTCTGTGGTGGATATATGTCAATGTGATTGTAATGTGATGCTGGATAATTCTGCATTTAGTTTTGCATATTGTGGCCTCCTCAAAAGCCTTGCATATGCCAGTGTTTTCTCACATTGTGCAGGGCCGTTGTGTGGGATCTCTTTCTTTCCTTGGGTGCTGGACTTTCAGTGATGGCTGGTTCACTCACTGATGAATCTTGTTGCTTACAGGTCCAGGTGCAGGTACAGCAGTCTCCGCAACAGGTCTCGGCTCAGCAGCTTTCCCCACAACTCACCGTTCACCAGCCTGCTGAGCAACCCATCCAGGTCCAGGTGCAGATCCAAGGCCAGGCACCACAGTCAGCAGCCCCCTCCATTCAGACCCCGTCTCTGCAGAGTCCCAGTCCCTCGCAGCTGCAAGCAGCTCAGATCCAGGTGCAGCACGTGCAAGCGGCCCAGCAGATCCAGGCTGCAGAAATCCCGGAGGAGCACATCCCACATCAGCAAATCCAGGCTCAGCTGGTGGCTGGCCAGTCTCTTGCTGGTGGTCAGCAGATCCAAATCCAGACCGTGGGTGCCCTTTCCCCACCACCATCCCAGCAGGGCTCACCCCGGGAAGGGGAGCGGCGGGTTGGCACAGCCAGTGTCCTCCAGCCAGTGAAGAAGCGCAAAGTGGACATGCCCATCACTGTGTCCTACGCCATCTCAGGGCAGCCGGTGGCCACCGTGCTGGCCATTCCACAGGGCCAGCAGCAGAGTTATGTGTCTTTGAGGCCAGACTTGCTGACAGTAGACAGTGCCCACCTGTACAGTGCCACTGGGACCATTACTAGCCCTACAGGAGAAACCTGGACCATCCCTGTTTATTCTGCCCAGCCCCGGGGGGACCCTCAGCAGCAGAGCATTACCCACATTGCCATTCCCCAGGAAGCCTACAACGCAGTTCATGTCAGTGGCTCACCCACAGCCCTGGCAGCTGTAAAGCTGGAGGATGACAAGGAGAAGATGGTGGGCACCACATCTGTAGTAAAAAACTCCCATGAAGAGGTAGTGCAGACCCTTGCAAACTCTCTCTTTCCAGCACAGTTCATGAATGGCAACATCCACATTCCAGTGGCTGTGCAGGCTGTGGCAGGCACGTACCAGAATACGGCTCAAACTGTCCATATATGGGACCCCCAACAGCAGCCGCAGCAGCAAACTCCCCAGGAACAGACGCCACCACCACAGCAACAGCAGCAGCAGCTCCAAGTTACTTGTTCAGTAAGTGAAGACTTACCAGGAGGACAGGCAGTCTGTTCCCTCAGGGCCCAGTGCAGCACAGAGCTTGCCTGGTAACCTCTGGCTTCTTTACTGCTATTAGTTTTACAGTGATACAGTATTTAATATTTGGGAGAAGAGGGCGAGAAACAGCAGGCTATACAACAGGAAAAAGGTTTATCCTGGTACCTAGAGGTAAATGAGATGGCCAGGAATTGCTTTGGAGTTTTGGAGAGGTTTTGGGTTTAGGTATTATGGACACTTCTTTGTAATTTTTTCTCAGGAAGAGTAAAGTTACAGGTATAGATGAATGGGACACCCAAAGTGTGTCCCAGGAGCTGCTTCCTTGTATCATAAGTAAATGGTTCTAGCAAAACACTTGTAGTTTATCAATAGATTACAAACTCATCATTGGAGAAGCTGTGAGATTGTTCTGTTTTTCATCTTTGGGCACACAGTGTGGGTGAATTAGAAAATCTGAAATACCTCTTAATGAGCCTGTTAAAAGTGATCACTGTTGGGAATCTTGAATATGCCACCTATGTGGTAGGACCTCCCAAGAGTGTTACTGTGTTACTTGAAAACAGGCCAGGCCCAGTGGCCACACATGTAATCCTAGCACTTTGGGAGGCTGAGGCGGGCAAATCACCTGAGGTCAGGAGTTTGAGACCATCTTGGTCAACATGGTCAAACCCCGTCTCTTCTAAAAATATAAAAATTAGCCAGGTGTGGTGGTGCATGCCTGTAATCCCAGCTACTCGGGAGGCTGAAGCAGGAGAATTGCTTGAACCCAGGAGGCGGGAGATTGTGATGAGCCAAGGTTGAGGTGAGCCAAGATCACACCACTGCACTCTAACCTGGGGCAACAGAGCAAGATTCTGTCTCAAAACAAACAAAACCTATTAGTGCTGGGTTCTGTGACAGTTGCCTATAATCCCAGCAGTTTGGGAGGCTAAGGTGGGAGGATTCCTTTAGCCCAAGAGTTTGAGATCAGCCTGGGCAATATAGGGAGACCCTATCTGCAAAAAATTAAAAAATATACTCGAGTGTGGTGGCATACACCTGTGGTCCCAGCTTAGATGGGAGGATTGAGCCTGGGAGGTTGAGGCTGCTATGATCATGCAACTGCATTTCAGCCTGGAGGAAAGAGTGAGACCTTGTCTAACAAAAAACAATTGGTGGAATATCTGGTCCCATTAGAGTGGGATATAGGGCCTCTGGTCTTATGGGACTGATGAAGGTGGTGTGCCTCAGTGGGCAAAGGCTCCTGGGAATGCATGTGTGGGAGCTGGCACAAACAAGTTAGATTAGGGACTACACTTAGAAACACGGGCTCTAAGTGATTAAGCAAAGGTTGACCAGGTGTTTTCATAGAGGCAACATTTTATTATCCTAAGTGATATTAAGGACCTGCTAAATATGTAGCTGTTGGGCCTAGAAATAGAACAAGACAAGAGTTTTTGCTTCATACAGCTAAGAGTTGTGAAAGTCAGACTTGATTTCTATTCCTTTAAATTATTTATAAGGCAGAATATTTATGACATACAAAGACAAACTGGGAATTTAGAAACTCTAGGTTAAAAAGGAAACAGCGGTGTCTTTGTGGACAAAATGGGGTTTGAACTGTAGTTAATTTATTTTTGAGACAAGAGTGTTGCTTTGTTTCCCAGGTGGGAGTGTGGTAGTGATCATAATTCACTGTAGCCTCAAACTCCTGGGCTGATAAAATCCTCCTACCTCAACCTCCCAAGTAGCTGGGACTATAGGCACACACTACCACACTTGGTGTGTGTGTGTGTGTGTAGTGTGTATATATATATTTGTAGAGACAGAGTCTCACTGTGTTGCCCAGGCTGGTCTTGATCTCCTGGCCTCATATGATCCTCCTGCCTTGGCCTTTCAGAGTGCTGGGATTACAGACATGAGCCACTGTACCCTACGTTGAACTGGTAAACTGTAGTTTACAGTTTAGATAAATAAAAGAATGGAACAGCATAATTACAAAACCAAGGATAGACAGAAGGGACATGATATGGCCTAAGGCAATGTGAGAAGGGAACTGTGGGAATGGATTAGTATGGGGGTGCGGGAATGAGATTGTTGTCTTCCCAAATTAGAGTTGAGTTTGATCTAATCTGTGGTAGGAAGTCTGGAATTACCTGAATTTATGGTAATAGGAGAAATCAAGTAGCTCTGTGTAGAATTGACTCTGTATAGGAGAAACCAGCCAGTAGATTTGTAGTGGGTCTCTATGCTCAGCTTTTGTTCAAAGAAATGGAGTCCATTAGGCCTCCCCTAGCTCTTCTGGGCCTGATTATCCAATTGCAAGTCAAGGCCTCATTTGGTACTTAATGGTCTCTGTTTATAATTTACATGTCCGGGTCCTCTAACAGAAGATCCTTTCTGGACTTCATTTTAGTAGGCCAGTGTTCTTCATAGGCTGTATCTGATTTGGGAAAGTCTTACAGTGATTAACATGAAGTATTATTATCAGAAATGGAAACATTGGGGATGATCTCAATTTTCCATCCCAAGGGAAAGATGAGTTTGTCTATATATACCACAAACATCCCTCTGCCGTCCTATCCAGACTCTATGCTAGGACCTGGGGAAAAGAGGTGAATAAGACAGTCCACCCTTGGACCACTTTATGGTCACTTGGGGAAGACAGTTGAGTTGAACCCTAAGGGGAACTGGAGACAAAATGTTGTGTTTCTTCATCTGTCACAGGTTAGAGAGGACCATACCTTTTATAAAAGCTCTCATAGGTCCTGTCTTTAAACCAGATTTATGGTGAAATATCACTTCCTTACACCCACCTCCATCTATTGCCCCATTTCTTTGTTCTACTTTATTCTCAGAACTCTCAAAAGCATTGTCGACACAAGCTGGGCTCCATGTGCTATAAAATTTTCCTTCCCTTTTTTTTTTTTTGAGACGGAGTTTCGCTCTTGTTACCCAGGCTGGAGTGCAATGGCGCAATCTCGGCTCACTGCAACCTCCGCCTCCTGGGTTCAGGCAATTCCTCTGCCTCAGCCTCTTGAGTAGCTGGGATTACAGGCACGCGCCACCATGCCCAGCTAATTTTTTGTATTTTTAGTAGAGACGGGGTTTCACCATATTGACCAGGATGGTCTTGATCTCTTGACCTCGTGATCCACCCGCCTTGGCCTCCCAAAGTGCTGGGATTACAGGCTTGAGCCACCGCGCCTGGCCTTTTTTTTTTTTTTTTTTTAAGATGGAGTCTTGCTCTGTCGCCCAGGGTGTAGTACAGTGGTGCAGTCTTGGCTCAGTGCATCTTCCACCTCCCAGGTTCAAGCAGTTCTCCTGCATTAGCCTCCCTTGTAGCTGAGACTACAGGTGCACATCACCATGCCCGGCTCATTTTTGTATTTTTTTAGTAGAGATAGGGTTTCATCATATTGGTCAGGCTGGTCTCAAAACTCCTGACCTCAGGTAATTCAACCCATGTCAGCCTCCCAAAGTGCTGGGATTACAGGCATGAGTCATTGTGCCTGGCCAAATTTTCTTTTCACCTCATGACTAAATCTGTTCTTGTCAAGGTCAGCAGTGACCAGCCAGTTTAGACCAGCAGGTATGTTTTTAACCTACAGCAACACACAACACAGCAGCCTGTTATTGACACTCTTTTCTTTAGATTTCCATGTTGTTACGCATTCCTGATTTTTCTTCTACCAAGCTGATTCTTCTTTCTTCCCAGGAGCCTTACTGGTGCCTTCTCCTCTCTGAATTGTACATGTTCATGTTCCTCAGGGTTCAGTACTTGGTTCTCTTCTCCCTAAGGGATTTCTTTCCATTGCCATGGTTTTCAGCATCCTCTAGATGATTCTTTCTGCTGCTGAAGATGATAATCACTGATACTGTCTGCCAGTACTATTCACGTTTAACATATTCTTCTAATTTTCACATGAACCTTATGAAGTATGTACTAATACCTCCATTTTACAGATGAAGAAACTCAGAGGTTAAGTGAGAAGCCCACAGCCACACTTAAAAAGTGACAGAATTGACTGGGTGTGGTGGCTCATGCCTGTAGTCCCAGGACTTTGGGAGGTCGAGGCAGGCAGATCACAAGGTCGGAAGTTCAAGATTACACTGGCCATTATGGTGAAACCCTATCTCTACTAAGAAATACAAAAATTAGCTGGGCATGGTGGCTTGTGCCTGTAATCCCCAGCTGCTGGGGAGACTGAGGTAGGAGAATTGCTTCAACTGAGACCTGGGAGGTGGAGGTTGCAGTAAGCTGATACCGTGCTACTGCACTCCAGCCTGGGCTACAGAGCAAGACTCCATCTCAAAAAAAAAAAAAAAGGAAAGTGACAGAATTGGTTGGGCACAGTGGCTTATTCCTGTAATTCCAGCACTTTGGGAGACTGAGGCCGGTGGATCACGAGGTCAGAAGCTTTAAGACCAGCCTGATCTACATGGTGAAACCCTGTCTCTACTAAAAATAAAAAAATTAGCTGGTCTTGGTGGTGCATGCCTATAATCCCTGGTACTTGGGAGGCTGAGGCAAGAGAATCGCTTGAATCAGAGAGGCAGAGATTGCAGAGAGCTGAGATCATGCCACTACACTCCAGCCTGGGCAACAGAGCAGATTATCTAAAAAAAATAGAAAATGGTAGACTTGAGATTCAACCCTGGATGGGCCAGCTCTAGAGCCTGTGTCTTAATCCCTGTGTAGCATTGACACGTAAGTTCAAGTCTCTGGGCCATACCTTCCTCTGTTTGGAACCTTTTTCATATATTCACCTGTCTACTTACCAATAAATCCTACTTGGATTTATTGATAATACCTCAGATCTTCATTGGCATCACTTCTAAAACTGTCAAAAACTTCCGTGTCTCAGAAAATGGTGCTGCTCTCCACCCAGTTGTTCAAACCAGAAATGCAGGAGTCATCTTTGTGTCTGCTTTCCCTTACTCCTCACAGCCAGTTCATCAACAAGCCATGTTGCTTGTACAGAATCTCTTACATCATCTCCACTGCCACCACTCTAGACTAGGCCACCAGTACTTGGTTCCATTCTTGTTCTTCAATTTATTCTTCATAGAACAATGAGAATAATCATACAATTTAAGATTATGTCACTTCCTAGCTTAAAACTCGCCAAGGGCTCCCATTATATGTAGGAACAGATGTACATCACATGAATCCAGGAGGCATTGCAGTGACCCGAGATGGCTCCACTGCACTACAGCCTGGGCGACAGTGCAAGACTCCATCTCAAAAAAAGAAAAAGTAGAAGAAAGAGCGAGAATATCTGGGCCTGGCTATAGTCTTGGCTTTGAGCAAGACAACAATTGGTGACAAACTGTTTTTTTTGAGATGGAGTTTTGCATTTGTTGCCCAGGCTGGAGTGCAGTGGCATGATCTTGGCTCACCACAACCTCCGACTCTCGGGTTCAAGCAATTCTTCAAGTCACCAGGATTATAGACATGTGCTACCACACCCAGCTATTTTTTTATTTTCCATAGAGACAGGGTTTCTCTGTGTTGGTCAGGCTGGTCTTGAACTCCTGATCTCAGGTGATCCACTCGCCTTGGCCTCCCAAAGTGTTGTGATTACAGGTGTGAGCCACTGTATCCTGCCGACAAACTTTAACAGAATGGGGGGAAGATGTGTTGCTCCCTGAGCTAAGAAAGTACTTATTGATTGGGTAAAGGGAGGCTTGAGCCTATGGGTGGCGGGGAAGAGGGGACGTGTGCATGGCACACTGAGAGGCTTCTGGGGCTATTGGGTCCTCTGGCCCTGAGCTCACCTGCCTTCCTGGCCTGTGCTAGATGTCTTTGAGGGGCGTGATGGTTGGCAGTTTATGGAACTATTTCAAAGAAATGGGTGGATAGGTGTGTGTGTGTGTGTGTGTGTGTGTGTGTGTGTGTGTGTGTTCCTTAGATTAGCCAGTGCAAATTGAGTAGACTTAGTTCAATACATCTCGGTATTCTGAGCCTAATGCAAACCTTTGCACACGTTTGTTGAGTTAGCAAGTGAGAGAAACTAGGGTTTTGGGTGATTTGAATTGATTGCTTGATTTTTATAACCTTTGAAAATCCGAGCACATTCTGTTTTGTCTTTTTTTTTTTTTTTTGAGACAGAGTCTGGCTCTGACGCCCAGGCTGGAGTACAGTGGCACCATCTCGGCTCACTGCAACCTCTGCCTCCCAGGTTCTGATTCTCCTGCTTCAGCTTCCTGAGTAGCTGGAATTACAGGCATATACCACCATACACAGCTAATTTTTATATTTTGATAGAAATGGAGTTTCACCGTGTTGGCCAGTCTAGTCTTGAACTCCTGACCTGAAGTGATCTGCCTGCCTTGGCCTCCCAAAGTCACTGCACCCAGCCCAAGCACATTCTTTGAACATGTGGTAACTCAGTTCTTGCCCTTCGAAATCAGAGTCCAAACTAAAAAATGGAAAATCTTGGAATTTTAATATTAGGAAGGTATAAAAATCTTCAGAATCTGGCCAGGCATGATGGTTGACACCTGTAATCTCAGCACTTTGGGAGGTGGAGGCGGATGGATCACTTGAGGTCGGGAGTTTGAGACCAGCCTGACCAACATGGTGAAACCCTGTCTCTACTAAAAATGCAAAAATTATTGTATTGTATACAGCACAAAAATGCAGTGACCTTGGCTCACCACAACCTCCGCTTCACAGGTTCAAGGAATTCTCCTGCCTCAGCCTCCCAAGTAGCTGGGATTATAGGTGTCTGCCACCGTGGTCTCCAGCCTGGGCAACAGAGGAAGACTGCTCAAAAAAAGAATTGTGAAAAGTAGGAAATATTGACCGTCGGGCACGGTCATGCTTGTAATCCCAGCACTTTGGGAGGACGAGGTGGGTGGATCACAAGGTCAGGAGATTGAGACCATCTTGGCCAACATGTCTCTACGAAAAATACAAAAAATTGGCTGGACATTGTGGCGTGTGCCTGTAATCCAGCTACTCGGGAGGCTAAGGCAGGAGAATTGCTTGTACCAGGGAGTCGGAGGTTGCAGTGAGCTGAGATCATGCCACTGCACTCCAGCCTGGGTAACAGAGACTCCGCCTCAAAAAAAAAAAAAGGAAATATTTAAACATTATTCATACATTCACCTTTTTAATTTTTACTTTTTGAGCCACAGTCTCGCTGTGTTACCCAGGCTGGAGTGCAATGGTACTGTCTTAGCTCACTGCAACCTCCATTTCCCTGGTTCAAGTGACTCTCATGCCTCAGCCTCCCAAGTAGCTGGGATTACAGGTGTGAGCCACCACCTGGCTAACTTGTATTTTTAGTAGAGATTCGGTTTTGCCACTTTTTTTTCTCTAAATGATGGCTCAACTATGGTTGGACATTAAAATCACCTGGGAAGGCCGGATGCCATGGTTCGTGCCAGTAATCCCTGCACTTCGCGAGGCTGAGGCAGGCAGATCACTTGAGGTCAGGAATTGGATACCAGCTGGCAAGATGATTCGATACCAGCCATCTCTACTAAAAATACAAAATTTAGCTGGGCATGCTGGTGCACTGCAATCCCAGTTACTTGGGAGGCTGAGGCAGGAGAATCGCTTGACCTGGGAGGTGAAGGCTGCAGCGAGCAAAGATTGTGTTAGTGCACTTCAGCCTAGGGGACAGAGCTAGACTCCATCTCAAAAAAAAATCACCTGGGAAGCTTTTAAAAATACTGACACTGGTGCCCCTACCTTATACCAGTTAAATCACAATTGCTGGGGATAAGGCCCAGGTGGGTTTTTTTTTTTTAAAACAATCCAGATGATTTTAAGGTGCAGCCTAGTTTAAGGTAACTGCTCTGGGCCGAGTGCAGTGGCTCATGCCTGTAATCCCAGCCCTTTGGGAGGCTGAGACAAACAGATCACCTGAGGCCAGGAGTTTGAGGCCAGCCTGGCCAACATGCCAACATGGTGAAACCTTGTCTCTACTAAAAATACAAAAAAAAAAAAAAAAAAAAAAAAATATTAGCCGGGCATGGTGGCAGGTAATCCCAGCTCCTGGGGAGTCTGAAGGAGGAGAATTCCTTGAACCCAGGAGGCAGAGGTTGCAGTGAGCGAAGAGTGAAATTCCATCTCAGAAAAAAAAATTACTACTCTGGACGTTTGGTACACAAAGTGTAGTCTGGTGTCACTCGGGACTTTCTTAGAAATGCAGTCTCAGTTCCCAACCTTTTCAATCAGAATATGCATTTCGTTAAAATCCCCAAGTAATTTGATTTCACATTAAAGATTGTGGGAGCAGTGCTTTGAGCCAGTAGTTCTCAGTGGTGACCAAACTTTTTTACTCAAGGAGTTGTTTTTTTCCTCCCTCCATCGAAATGGAGTCTTGCTCTGTCATCAGACTGGAGTGCAGTGGTGTGATCTTACTCAAGGAGTTTTTAAAAAATTGATACTTTTGCTCCCCCTTAGAGAGATTCTGGGGTAAGTCTGGCTATTAGGGTTTTTTAATAAAAGATTTGACCAGGCATGGTGGCTCACGCCTGTAATTTCAGCACTTTGGGAGGCCAAGGTGGGTGGATCACCAGAGGTCAGGAGTTCAAGACCAGCTTGACCAGCATGGCAAAATCCCATCTCGTCTGAAATTACAAAATTAGCTGAGCATGGTGGTGCATACCAGTAATTCCAGCTACTTGGGAGGCTGAGGCAGGAGAATCTCTTGAATTCAGGAGGCGGAGGTTGCAGTGAGCTGAGATTGTGCCATTGCACTCCAGCCTGGACAAAAGTGAAACTCTGAAAAAAAAGATTTAACAGTGCAGCTGAGAAGCACTGCACTAGCCCAGTTGCAGTGCTGCTTTTGCTGTCCCTGAGTTAAGAAGTAGAACTCCAAAGCTGCTTAAAAGTAGGACAGCAAGGAATAGAGAGATATTTTCTTAAATAAATGAACTATACATAACATTTTTCTGGCAATTTTGCAGAAGGATCTAATACAAAACAATACTGACACATTTTCATGGTTTCTCTCCCATAGGCTCAGACTGTCCAGGTTGCTGAAGTTGAACCACAATCACAGCCACAGCCTTCCCCAGAACTTCTGCTTCCAAATTCTTTGAAGCCTGAAGAAGGGCTTGAAGTATGGAAAAACTGGGCCCAGACCAAGAATGCTGAACTAGAGAAAGATGCTCAGAACAGATTGGCACCCATTGGGAGTGAGTGTTTGGGAAGAAGAGTGGGCTCTGTCTAAAATACAGCAGGAAGACAAAATGGCAGAAAAGTGGTATCCCCTATCTTGGAGCCAAGAGAGCAAAATTTGAAATAGTATGTTGAATTCAAGCCTAGCAACAAGCAGTACTGACCTTGTGTACATAAGAAGCAGGATGTGTGGGGTTTGCCCAAAACCAGGTATTTTTAGACATAATGGGTTTCTGGAGTTGACCCTACCAGACCTGAGCAAAATGGCTTCTGGGAGGAAATGGGGACCAAGGAGTATGCGGTCAAGGTCCTTCTTTCTTGGCATTAGGCTCATACTCACGTTGTAGGCCTGTTCTGACATTACAGATGTAAGACATTACAGTAGATACAAGTGACCATTTCTAGCCCAGCACCCTGATGGGCAGTATCTGTTCTGAGCTTTTCAGATATGGACCCACAGGACCTCCATTCATCCTGGATTGCCAGGACCTCCATTCATCTTTGGGGCTTCTGTTGCAGGGCGCCAACTGCTGCGATTCCAGGAAGATCTCATCTCCTCTGCTGTGGCAGAGTTGAATTATGGGCTCTGTCTAATGACACGGGAAGCTCGAAATGGAGAAGGTGAACCCTATGACCCAGATGTGCTCTACTACATTTTCCTGTGTATTCAAAAGGTAGGAAACAGATCTTCTCAAGAACATGTTTGATCTGGGTTCTTGTTGTGTATTTGCTAGTTTAGTTAGTAAAATGACAAGCAAGAAGGTAAGGAACTCTTTCTCTTTCAGGTATAGTGAGTTTTAAAATACATATTTTTTTAAGTCTTTTTTTTTTTTTTGAGACGGAGTCTTGCCCGGTCACTCAGACTGGAGTGCTGTGGCACCATCTGGGCTCACTGCAACCTCTGCCTCCCGAGTTCGAGTGATTCCCAGTAGTAGCTGGGGTTCTAGGCACCTCACACCCGGCTAATTTTTGTATTGTTAGTAGAGATTTTTCAATTTGTTGGCCAGGCTGGTCTCAAAACTCCTGACATTATGATCCACCCACCTTGGGTGTTGGGATTACAGGTGTGAGCCACCGCACCTGGCCTTTTTTAAGTTTTAAAAACCTACATATTCACTTTAGAAAATTAGAGCCAGTGCTAGGTGCTGGTGGCTCACGCCTGTTACCCCAGTGCTTTGGGAGGCCAAAGCAGGTGGGTCTCTTGAGGTCAGGAGGAGTTGAAGATGACCAGCCTGGCCAACATGATGAAACGCTGTCTACTAAAAATATAAAAATTTGCCCGGTGTGGTGGTGCCCACCCGTACTCCCTGCTAGCTGGGAAGCTAAGGCACAAGAATTGCTCGAACCTCGGAGGTAGAGGTTGTAGTGAGCTGAGATCATGCCATTGCACTCCAGCATGGATGACTCTTTCTCAAAAATTCGGGGGAAAAAAAAGCCGGACAAGATGTAATCCCAGCACTTTGGGAGGCTCAGGCAGAAGGTTCTCTTGAGCCCCAGGAGTTTGAGACCAGCCTAGGCATCATGGTGAAATCCTGTCTCTACAAAAAATTAGCCGGGCTTGATAGTGCTCACCTGTAGTTCTAGCTACTTGGGAGGCTGAGGTGGGAGGATTGCTTGAGCCCCAGAAGTTGGGGCTGTAGTGAGTCATGAGTATGTCACTATACTCCAGCCTAAGTGACAGAGTGAGACCCTGTCTCAAAAACAAAAAAAAAAGAAAAAAAGCCAGGAGTGGTGGTGCATACCTGTAGTCCCAGCTATTTGGGAGATTGAGGCAGGAGGATCCCTTGAGCCCAGGAGTTCAAGGCTGTGGTCAGGTATGATTAAGCCATTGTCCTTCAGTCTGGGCAACAGAATGAGACCTTGTCTCTTAAAAAATAAATACATAAAATCATAAAGTAGGAAAACAAACACTATTCATCATCCTACTACCTAGAGAAACTTCTGTTACATTATTGGTAATTACCTTGCAGCCATTCACTTTTATTATAAATCACAAAGCATTAATGTAACACTTTTCTTTTTGTTAAAGTAAACATGGTTTTCATGAAAGTAATTTATTCAAAACAAAGTCTTGTGCTAGTATAGAGCTTTTCTTCTCGTTGTTTTCTGCATTAGCACCAAATAGTTATTTAAAGGAGTGTGGAATAATATACCAATGTAGTTAGGTTTTCAGGACATCTGTGGTGAAGCATAACAGAGAAATTTATAGACTGGCAATTCAGGGGATCAGAGGTGGATTTTTTTTTTTTTTTTGAGACAGTTGTGCTCTTTGTTTCCCAGGCTGGAGTGCAATGGTGTGATTTCGGCTCACTGCAACCTCCACCTCCCAGGTTCAAGCGATTCTCCTGTCTCATCCTCCCATGTAGCTAGGATTACGGGTGTCTACCACCACACCCAGCTAATTTTTATATTTTTAGTAGAGACAGGGTTTCACCATGTTGGCCAGGCTGGTCTTGAACTCTTGACCTCAGGTGATATGCCTGCCTCAGCTTCCAAAAGTGCTGAGATTAGAGACATGAGCCACCGCGTCCGGCCAGATTTCTTAGTGTTCAAAGGATCTTGAGGAGAAACCTGCAGTATAATAGGACAAGGGTTACTGGTTGGGACTCATCCTGCTGCCTAGCTTTGACAAATGTGTGCCTCCTAGCTTTTTCCTCTTTCATTGATCCTATCCTAAGTACTATGTGAATTGCTTTACATGCTTTCATTGTGTGCTCTCCCCAGTCCTAGAAGACAGATACTGTCATCTCCATTTACAGGCAAGGAAACTGAGCCCCAGAAATTAAAAGACTTGCACATGTTATTTAACTTATACAATATCTAATGGAAGGCAAAGCCTATTCATGATTTTTGCCACCACAAAACAATGCCTGGCTTGGGGGAAATAGCATTCACATTGTATGCCTTATTTACCCAACTTTCAAGAATGAGCTTTCAGTCACATGAGCTTAAGCATACTATGAAAGTGTTACATGCTGGTGCCTTGGTTTGTTGAGGTGTGAATGGGTGGGGAAGGACAGTAGTACTGGTAGAAAAATACATTTATATCCCCTGAAAGCCTTGTTCAGGAGACTACCAATAACTTCTGTTGATTGTTTTTCTTTTAGTATCTTTTTGAAAATGGAAGGGTAGATGACATTTTCTCCGATCTTTATTATGTTCGGTTCACGGAGTGGCTACATGAAGTTCTGAAGGATGTTCAGCCCCGGGTCACTCCACTTGGTAAGAGTCTCCCTTGTCCTTGGATGTCTATCTCAGCTGGATTTAAAAAAGATCAACAGTAGCTGGGTGAGGTAGCTCTTGCCTGTAACCCCAGCACTTTCTGAGCCTGAGGCAGGCAGATCACCTGAGGTCAGGAGTTCCAGACCAGCCTGACCAACGTGGAGAAACCCCTTCTCTACCAAAACTACAAAATTAACTGGGCATTGGGCATGGTGGCACATGCCTGTAATCCCAGGTATTCAGGAGGCTGAGGCGGAAGAATCGCTTGAACCCAGGAGTTGGAAGTTGTGGTGAGCCCACATCACGCCATTGCACTCCATCCTGGGAAACGAGTGAAACTCTGTCTCAAAAAAAAAAGGAGAAAAATCAACAGCTTCTGTGGTTGGCTGTGAAATAGCATGTGGGTGAGGCGGCTATAAATCCCAGACTGCAGCAGTATTGGCCACTGTGCTACTTGCCCTGATAGGCAAGAGACATTGCTCACCAGAGAACCCTGCTGGTCCCAGTGTGGGAAGGACACAGGAACAAGCAGAACTAGTGGGGTAGTTACTGTCTTCCTTTTCTATTAAAATGTATTGATTAAAATTAGAATCATAATTAAAAATTATGGACAGTTTTATCTGTAGAGTATAGTTTTTGCTTTACTAACAGGCAACCTTCTGGACAGCATGTTCTCTTGAAACAAAAGCGTAGGTTATTCAGGGCTTTTGTTTTTTGTTTTGTTTCTTTGAGACGGAGTCTCACTTTGTTGCCCAGGCTGGAGTGCAATGGTGCAATCTTGGCTCACCGCAACCTCTGCATCCCGGGTTCAAGTGATTCTCCTGCCTTAGCTTCCAGTAGTTATTACAGGCATTAGCCACCATGCTAGGCCTCTTTGTTTTTTTTTTTAAAAAAAAAAAAAACATGGTCTTGGTATGTTACTGAGATGGCCCTCAAACTCTTGAGCTCAAGTGATCCTCCTGCCTTGGCCTCCTGAGTAGCTGGGGCTATAGGCATGTGCTACCATGCTCAGCTATTTTTGTTTTTAATAGACTTTGTTTTTTGTTTTTATGAGATGGAGTTTCACTCTTGTTGCCGAGGCTAGAGTGCAACAGTGCAATCTTGGCTCACTGCAACCTCTGCCTACTGGGTTCAAGGGATTCTCCTATCTAAGATTCCCAAGTAGCTGGGATTACAGGCACATGCCACCTTGCCTGGCTAATTTGTTTTTTTGGAAACGGAGTCTCATTCTGTTGCCCAGGCTGGAGTGCAGTGGCGTGATCTCTGCTCACTGCAACCTCTGCCTCCTAGGTTGAAACGATTCTCCTGCCTCAGCCTGAATCTAGGATTCAGTTGCTAGGATTATAGGTTTGTGCCATCATGCCCGGCTAATTTTTGTATTTTTAGTAGAGACGGGGATTTCACCATGTTGGTCAGGCTGCTCTGGAACTCCTGACCTTGTGATCCGCCCGCCTCGGCTTCCCAAAGTGCTGGGATTACTCGCATGAACCACTGCACTCAGCCCAATTTTTGTATTTTTAATAGAGATGGGGTTTCATCATATTGGTCAGGCTGGTCTCAAACTCCTGACCTCAGGTGATCCACTTGGTTTGGCTTCCCAAAGTGCTAGATTACAGACGTGAGCCAACATGCCTGGCCAATAGACTTTATTTTTTAGAGTACTTTCAGATTTTTAGAAAAATTAGCAATAAGCACAGAGAATTTCCAAGTATCTCCTTAAGTATATACCCTCACACACATTTTTTCCTATCAATAACATGGTGCATTAGTGTGGTACATTTTTTACAATTGATGAACAAATATTGATACATTATTATTAACTATAGTTCATAGTGCCATGAACCGTATTATTGTGTTACACATTCTGGTTTATATTTTGAATCTATTGTACATTCTGGGTTTTGATAAATGTATGATGACATGTATCGCCATCATGGTGTCCTACAGAATGTTTCACTACCCTAAAAAATACCTCTTCTGGGCTGGGCACAGTGGCTTATGCCTGTGATCCCAGCACTTTGGGAGGCCAAGGTGGGCAGATCACCTGAGGTTGGGAGTTTCAGACCAGCCTGACCAACATGGAGAAACCCCATCTCTACTAAAAATACAAAATTAGCGGGGCGTGTTGGCGCATGGCTGTAATCCCAGCTGCTCAGGAGGCTGAGTCAGGAGAATCGGTTGAACCTGGGAGGCGGAGGTTGCAGTGAGCTGAGATCACACCATTGTACTCTAGCCTGGGCAACAAAAGCGAAACTCCATCTCAAAAACAAGCCAGGCACAGTGGCTCATTTCTGTAATCCCAGCACTTTGCGGGGCAGAGGCAAGTGGATCATGAGGTCAGAAGTTCAAGACCAGCCTGGGCAATATAGTGAAACCCCATCTCTACTAAAAATAGAAAAATTAGCTGGGCATGGTGGTGCATGCCTGTCATCCCAGCAACTACAGATGCTGAAAGAGGAGGATTGCTTGAACCCAGGAGTTCAAAGCTGCAGTAAGCAATGATCATGCAACTGTACTCTAGCCCGGGTGACAGGCCAAGACCCCATCTCTTAAAAAAATAATAATCAGTACAGTGGCTCATGCCTGTTATCCCAGCATTTTGGGAGACCAAGGCAGGTGGATCACTTGAGACCAGGAGCTTGACACCAGCCTGGCCAACACATAAAACCCCATCTGTACTAAAAATACAAAAATTGGCTGGGTGGTCGCTCGTGGCTGTAATCCCAGCAGTTTGGGAGGCCAAGGCAGGTGGATCACGAGGTCAGGAGATTGAGAACATCCTGGGTAACACGGTGAAACCTTGTCTCTACTAAAAATATAAAAAATTAGCTGAGTGTGGTGACGTGTCTAGTCCCAGCTACTTGGGAGGCTGAGGCAGAAGAATTACTTGAACTTGAAGGCAGAGGTTGCAGTGAGCCAAGACCATGCCACTGCACTCCAGCCTGGGTGACTGAGTGAGACTCCTTCTCAAAACAAAAAAAGGACTAGCAGCTTGGCACGGTGGCTCATGCCCATAATCCAAGAACTTTGGGAGACTAAGGTGGAAGGATCGCTTGAGCGCAGGAGTTTGGGACCAGCCTGGTCAACAATGCAAGATCCTATCTCATTCGTAATGTGTAGGCTGGGCGTGGTAGCTCACAGTCAGAATATGAGCACTTTGGGAGGCCATGGTGAGAGGATTGCTTGAGCCCAGGAATTCAGGACCAGCCTAGGCAACATGGTGAGATCCCATCTCTACCAAAAAATAAACCACACGCACACACATACACATTAAATATCTGACCAGATAATCTCACCAAAGAAGATGCATAGATGGCACATAAATATATGAAAAGATGGGCTGGGCACGGTGGCTCACACCTGTAATCCTAGCACTTTGGGAGGCCAATTCAGGTGCATCACTTGAGGTCAGGAGTTCAAGACCAGCCTGGCCAATATGGTGAAACCCCATCTCTACTAAAAATACAAAAATTAGCTAGGCATGGTGGTATGCATCTGTAATCCCTTCAACTTGGGAAGCCGAGGCAATAGAATTGCTTGAACCTAACAGGCAGAGGTTGCAGTGAACGGAGATTGCATGCCACTGCACTCCAGCCTGGGCTACAGAAGGAGAATCAGTCTCGAAAAAATAAAATAAAAGATGCTCTCATCAGGTGGCACCAGAGAGTTGCAAATTGAAATAATGAAATACTACTGCACATTTATTAGAATGGCTAAAATTCAAAACACTGACAGCACCAAATGCTGACATGTGTAGGGAATAACATCCTTTATTGCTTGTGGAAATTTAAAATGACACAACCACTTGGGAAGACATTTGGCAGTTTCTTAAAAAAGTAAACATATTGTTGCCTTATGATGCAGCGGTTGTACTCCTTGGCATTCAAAGAAGTTCACACAAATATCTGAGTTTTAATCCCTGTTACAGCCATTTATTAAAATGTATGCTGCTTAACCCTTTTTTAAAAAAGCTTATGGTTGGGCAAGGTGGCTCATACCTGTTATCAGCACTTTGGGAGGCCAACAGCCTGGCCAACATGTTGAAACCTCATCTCTACTAAAAATACAAAAAAATTAGCCAGGCTTGGTGGCAGGTGCCTGTAATCCTAGCTGCTTGGGAGGTTGAGGCAAGAGAATTGCTTGAACCCGGGAGTCAGAGGTTGCAGTGGGCCGAGATTGTGCACTCCTGCACTCCAGCCTGGGCAACAGAGTGGGACTCTGTCTCGAAGGAAAAAAAAAAAACTTAACTGGTTAGACAAATTTTTTGAGTGCCTCCTAAGTGCCAGGCAATATTCCAGGTGCCGGTGAATATATCTGAAGACAATGGAGCTTGCACTGTAGTAAGGCAACAGTATATAAAGAAGCAAGTTAACTTAAGTACTTTGTCTTTTTTTTTTCCCTCTCTTTTTGAGGAGAAGGTCTTGCTGTATATCCCAGGCAGGCCTCAAACCCCTCTGTCTTCCCACCTCTGCCTCCCTAAGAGCTGGGATTACAGGGGTGAGCTACTGCGCCCAGCAATTTAAGTACTTTGAAGAACAGAACACAAATGGAAAGTGTTAAGAGTGTTACAAGGGATGGCTATCATTGAAACAGACGTGAGTGACTACATCACTCTAAATAATTTGGAAGTTTTCAAGCCAAGTATGGTTATACAGATTTCACTTTTTACTCTGTTATTATGGAAGTTTCAAACATATATAAAAGTAAACACAATAAATTCATGAACTTCCCCATGTACCCATTTTCCATGCCAAATCTTTTTTGTTGCTGTTTTTTAATTCCTTTTGTTTGTTTGTTTTAAAATTATTTTTTCATGGTAAACCTTATATATACCACTACCAGTTTCCCCTCTTCTGTATTGGAAGTAAATTTTAGATACTTGATCCATAATTTTTTTTATATGGAGTCTCTCTGTGTCACCCAGGCTGGAGTGCAGTGGTGCAGTCTCAGCTCACTGCCGCCTCCACCTCCTGGGTTCAAGTGATTCTACTGTTACAGCC